ATACAGAACTCCACAGGAGAATGCCAGAATAAAAATTAATGATTGCGAAAGGATGGATATGGGCCCAAAAGGACCAAATTCGCGAAGTCATTCAAGACTCAAGAAGGAGCCTAACTACGAAACAACATGGAGTAAGGGGGGAATAAAGGAAGTGAGAACCACTTCCGCACCAAAGCCAAATAATAAATTAATAAAAGCAGATAAAAACTTGACTTTCAAGTCGGATTTTTTTTCCAGTTACCCAAAAAAAAAAAACTACCAATATGAAAGATTAAATATGGGTATATAGGCTAATCAGCATCAGAAAAATTCCCAGATCCTCAAATATTCAAGTTTCAGCAGATAAAGTTATGGACCTGTGAAACCATTCCCTTCTCCTCTGCATGGGAACCAAAGTAACGAGAACTAGAATAACTAATTAACAAATAAATAATATAGAAAAATGACCAGGATAAGTAATCCACAGAGCTCGGAAATACATTTTTACATTTCTCTCTCTTTCATTCCCTCCTATGAATTCCTTCAGAATAAACCTCCACATGATATCTAAATCAAATCAAACACAAGAAACGCTTCACGAAAAGAATTGGAAACACCACACAATGAGAGGGAGCATAATGCGTCCATGCGGCGAGGAGAAGAAACTCACCGGATTTCAGCAAGCAATTCCCGAGTCGGTTATCCGAACAAAGAAGCCATTGGGCATTTAGATAGAAAAAGATGCGGCAAGAGTAACGCAGAGTTCTTGAAAAGGAGGAATCCTGGTCTTAGAACTCTGGAGAGATTTTCGCAGCTCTTGCCCGAAGGCGCCAGAAGCAGAAACGAAGAGGCAAATGAAAGCAGTTTAATGATGCCGCGCACACGAGATATATCATATATGGGCTGGTCCGTGAGAATCACGTGCCTTCCAGATTCAACCGACGGAAAGCTGAATATTTGCAGCAGCCTTGAGCTACTGAACGAATTGAATCAACGGATTGTCATTATCATTATTCAGAATTGAAGTTTTCTCTGAACCGAAAAAATATCTAGTGTATTGAAATTTTCTTTTGCAACTGAAATTCAATGGAACGCGCATTTCCTCCTCCATTGATTTTCTTAATATCGGCTCCGCTATCATGGGCAGAACAATAAAAAAAACTTTCATGTTGACCTGCTATCTAAAACCAGTAATTGATTGACAGGTCACCTAACCTCTATTCCATTTTTGCTTTTGGCATTATTTCTTTTGATTGTCAAGAGAACCCTGTTTTAATAATCAGAGCTTGCTAAAGAAGGCAATCAACAATTAAGAAATAACTAATACAATGTTTGCCCGGATTGGCTTATATTGATATCACCATTTTGATAAGCCTCATCCATCTAACAAATCGCAGAGAATTTGACAGTTCCTTGTATGCAATGATATACATATATTATACTCTCTCTCTTAAAAAATATAAAACATCTTTAATGAAATCTCACCCTTCAATAAATTAGTTACCTGCTTTTAAATTAACTTTATCTTTTTATATTTATCCTTATTAAACACCTTACAATAAATATAAAATTATTATCAATGGGGACACTTTAAAAAAAAGACAATTATTATATCTCAAAAGATTAAAAATGCCTTATATTTTTTAATATCTAACTCCTTAAAAAATGCCTTATATTTTTGAATGGAGGGAATATTCCTTTCTATGTAATAAGTCATGTTTAATTAATTTCATGCTTATTAAAACAAATGATGGTTATAACTTATATCTTTAAAATTATTTAAAAAATATTTAATTTATTTTAAAATATAAGCATTTTTTAGATATTTTTTACCTAGAATATAAACAACTTAGTGTTTATAAAATATTGTTTTATTTTGCCTCTTGTATTTATTAATTTAATTTTCTGTGTCTATGAATTTATAACTTTCTCACTTGTCATGAATTTGAATTCAAGGTAACAAGAGTGATAATATATATTTTTATGAGGATATAGGTTTTATGAAAAATATTGTTAAAATCTGTTTATATTTTGGCCAGGATGAAGTATATGATTTGTCAATTTTGCCCTCTCCTTGCAATTAATAATTATAATAAATTGTTGTATGTGAATTCAAATCATGATAAATAAATAAGGGATACAATTGAAAAAAAAATATGCTAATTTTATTTTATATTGATGATAAAAAAAACTTTTGAAATTTTTCTTATACTAAGCATGGAATGGGTACACTTTATTATCTGCATTTGTTCTGTATATAAGATTCCTTTGACACGCAACCGTCATGCCATGCGTACATACATGCGCGTATTTAGTCTTCAAGATATCATCATATCAAAACTAACACATATGACAAACTCTATAAGAAACAATGGTAAAATAAAAAAAAACAAAACAAAACAAACAAAAAACCCTATAAGAAACTATAACATGTGCAATAAATTTATGTATAATAAATATGCATAGGTATAAGGTATATATACACTCCCTCCATTTAAAAATATAAAATATTTTTAATTAAATTTTACCTCACAATAAAATAATTATTGATTTTTTAATTAACTATATCTTTTTTATTTTTATATTTAAAAATATTTTATATATTTAAATATTTAACTCTTCAAAAATATATCATATTTCTAAATATATGGAATATATGATATGGTAGAAAATTGGATGAAGCAATGGGGTGTAAACAAGTGGTGTTATGGAGAAAGAATTTTCAAAATGGGGGAAAAAAAGAGTTGGGGTGGAAATGATAAGTCAACCGATACACTCAAAGGGATGCAAGGGCGAAGTGTTGCAATTAAATGAAAGCAAGGGATCTGCCAGATGCCCCTGAAGATGCCTCTTGACTAGTGAGTCGAAAGAAGCAAGCCAACAAGACAGCCAGACAGTCACATGGTTCTGGGACCAAACAAGGAAAATGACACATAATAATAACTCTTTAAATCTTAAAGTGTAGTTATAAAAAAATTAAGATATAATTTTATTCTTAAATTATTTTTAAAGAAACAATGTTGTCCTTCAAATCTTACTCCTAAATTATTTTTAAAAAAGTAATATTATTTTTAAACTATTCATTGTAATAATATCATCCTTAAATTAATTAAATTAAAGTAATATTGTCTCGTTGTTTAAACGTTCATTGTTGTAGTTAGTGGGACTTTTTTTTATAAGTTAATGTATAATTTTATTTCTAAACTATATTTAGAGGAACAATGTTGCCCTTATTGTTTAAAAATCATAAAATTAAAATAATATTAAATGTATATATAAATATAAAATTACAATAATATTAAATAAAAATGATATTAAATGTATATATAAAATAAATATAAAAAAAATATAAATTATAGTTTTATAACTCATTAAATATAAGTGAATTTTGATTAAATTAGATATGAATAGACTCAAAAATATTTACATTTACACCCATAACTATCGACAACTTTATAAAAATATAGTTTCAAATTGTACTTTGTACATATGAATTATTTAAAAATAAAGTTAGCTTTTGGAGTTCTTAAATATCAAAGGTAAGCTTCATACACTTAAATCTTTCTCTCTTCTTCCATTTTCTTAATAGTAAAAGTTAGAATTTGATTGATAATGATAATTTTTGGTCTATATAGACTATAGATCTGAACCCATTAACTTAAATGGAGTTAATGGGAGTAGATTGAGTTAAATAAATTTGATATTTATGATTATACGAGGATTAATGGTTAAGGAGCATTAAATATCTAAAAAATCTCATAAATGTGTTAGTTTGTGACAATATGGCTCTATTAATGACCACTAAAGAGCTCAATGATATTAATGATGGTTAAAGGAAGCTAAGAAACCTTATGAGTATTTTTACATGAATCAAAAATGAATCTTGAACATTAAAAAGTGTTGAATCATTAGTAAAAATTAGCCTAAATATAGATATTAATGAGTTGCATTGTAAATGCTTGTAAAGTGACTATCCTTAGTACCATTCAAGCTTCTTGAAAACTTCAAGAGTAAGTATTGAGGAGTAAAATCTTTGACCTCTCAAAAATTTGAGAAAATTAAAAAAATTCTATCTTATACTTTTGAATGTTAATTAGTTTATCAATCAATATTTAATAATTGAATTGTGTGAGATTTTATAAAAATGCAAATGTGACTTATTTTATTTAAAGAGCCCACTGTTGAAGTGGTAATTTAATATAGTCCAATGATTTTGAAATTTTAAAGTTCAATAATTTCTAATGAATGAGGTACAATGATTATAAAAATATAAAGTGCAATGATTTGTGTAATTGGGAGTTAAATGATTAGAGTTGCTAGGAGTTCGATGATTTTAAAATGTATAGAGTTTAATGATTGTGAATGTGTGAGATACGATGATTTTGAAATTTGAAGTTCAATGACTTATTTGATTTGAAGTTCAATGAAAATGTATTTGAAGAGTTTAATAATTTGTAAAATGGTGGAGTTCAATAAAGTTGGTTATGTGGAGTTCTATGAAATAAGTTAATTATAAATTATTACATAAATATGCATTGCATGATCTTGAAAGGCAAGAGTTTGCTTAAGAAGAGGAATAGAAAATTAAATCTACATGGTAGGGCTCCTATCCGAGTTGATGGCTTGCCTAGATTGTTTATATACTCATTGTCCTACCTGTTTAATGAAAGACTATCACATTGGTTTAATAAGGGACTTGAATCTTGTAACACCCTCAAATTTACAGACCGATTTTTCGCAAATCATTAATTCAACAAATTATTTTTTTTTTGAACCCTCATCATACCCTTATCATGGTAGAAAAATTTCTACCATGATACATCCAAGACAATATACCACAGGTCTTAAAATATCTCAAAAAAAACAATTAAAACCATGAGGGACAGACATGATCCTCATGGCATGTTATTCAAATCAGGTCATGAATCAAGAGGGATAAACATAATCCTCTTGGTCATATAAATACTTTTAATAAAAAGGATTAGAGTTTACATGCTTCACAAAGAAGATATGTCCTAAGTTGGCACAAGATACATTGTATAATCTAAAATAAGAGGCAACGTAAAAGATGGTGTCTCATACACCACAGTTACACCTCTGGTGCTTTCTCGGCCGGACTCGCTCCTGTAAAAATATTAACCACGGGGAATGAGACTTAAAAGTCCCAGTAACCAGAAATTAATATGTAATGATGCATGCGGATGTAACTAATCATGCGATTGCTAAGTGGGCACACAAAACATTTAACCGAACAATACTTTCAAACAAGCCGAACAAGTCTTTAATTTGCATGACTGCACCTTATATCCTCCTTTCGCCATGCTCGGACGCCAAATCACCCGGCCAAAGGTGAGTTGGACCAAGTGACACGCCACTCATTGGGTCCAATGAGGGCTTACCACGTGGTAATAATTAACCGAACAGAAATTCCCATTAACACCATACATTAAAATACCCTGACAAGTCATGCATCATTCAAATATCCAAACAGGAATATATCCGAACAATAATATCTCATCATGATAAACAAAAATAAATTTTTAACCCACTTGGCAATAATTTCAAACAAGTATATATAGTATTTATTTTCAATAATTCATAATTTTTCCAAACAACAAAACAACACATAACCATTCACAAACACACCCATCACAATACATTAATAATGGTTACCTTGTGTCTTGAATAACAAGTTCCCCTTCACAACTCCTTTTTCACCACTATCTTTGTCAATATAATCTACATAATTATTTCACAATACTATATATTAATTTTACATTAAAATAAATAACTCTAATTTAAAGAGTTAGAAAGTCTTAGATCTATAGTCCATATTAACACTGATTTAAGATTTATGCCTCATTTAACTTCCCAAATTCTTTTTCTAAAATTCTCGTACCCTAATAAACTATTTTTTTATCCTCAAATCACTTCTAGTATCACAATTTCATCCTTCTATATTCTAAAAATTCGTCCAAAAATAAATTAAAAATTTTAAAATTATCCTGAAACCTCAAATCACTTTTCTATAACCTCAAAAATACCTATTCATACTTAAATAAATATTTAATAATCAGAGATTTATCCTTACATCTCAGATTCCACATAAATTCAACCATATAGATCTAGATTTTAACTCAAAAATTCTTAAACATGAGTTTCAACCTTAAGAAAATATTCTATAATATTTTTTATATCCTTAAGAATTTTAACCTATATTTTTAATATATCATTAGATTAACTATCCTATAGAAAAATCCTAATCAAAATATTTACTCTATCCTACAAAATAATCATATCACTAGAAAGCTAATATTATTTAGAAAATAACTATAAAATTAATTTTGTAATTAAATAAATTTTTAAATGCTAATCTAAACAGGAAAGTTAGAACATACCTGAAGAAAAAGAAAATAATCCCCCCTTGCGAGAAAACGCCGAGCAACGTGAGAGGAAGAGAGAAAAATAATATAAAAATGGGATTGTGAGTCCCAAAATTATATTAAAAAAAACTATAGGTTTGAATTTAATTATTCAAACCTTTGGGCCAAAAGTTGCAATTTCCTCTAAATTGCATCTCAGCCTCTCATGCTTCTTAATGCACACACCCCCTCCTTTTTATATATGAAGGCACCTCTTCTCTTCCCTCATCTAACCAATGTGGGACTTAGAAACAACAACCTTCTACCTCTATTTTTTTGTTCCTTCTACCTTCTCTTTTTTTTAACACACACATAAAAAAAATTATTTATGTATTATATCTTAACTAAATATTGCTTATGTGGTTTTAAATTTAAATTTTTAAATTCATAATTAAATACCTAATTATAATATTATTTCTAAATAACCTCAAATAATATAAATTCCTATTATTATCATCTTTTTTCCTCAAAACCTAAATTCCACAATTTCTTTATTATATAAAAATCAGGATGTTACAAATCTAGCTAACTATTCACTAGTTCAATGAGGAAGTTTGTATAGGAAAAATGGCACCTCACAAAGTGAAAAAATAAGGAAAACCATGTTCCATACGTGAGTTGGGCAAGCCTTAGTCAAGTAATTCCTTTACAAGTGTTTAGGTTAGATAAGTCTCGGATTATAAACTATCCCATTGTGATATAGCTCACAATTTTATGTTAGAGAAATATGGAGGATATAAGGGAGATGTGATCATACATATAATGAAAAGGGAAAATGATTGTTATATTGTGACCCTAGTGAAATAATACACTTAGAAACCTTATTGAATATGTATGAGCATTATTTTGTTTGATATTTTGTGAGTATGAATCATAATAAATGAATATGAGGATATTTATTCTTAAGACATGCTTACAAACTGATTTGTAATCATAATCTCATATGCATGTCTTAAAGATGATGAGAAGGTTGAGTTTAGCTCTTGAACATGTCCACGCTTTGTGATTACTTATAAATTGTCACTTACATTTAAATTAATTAACATGCATTAGTATGAGTTAGTTGGACTTTGGTTACTGAGTGGTTGTACTCACCCAATTATCTTCAATATTATAGAAAATGGCTCAAGAGGATCAGATAGAAGAAAGCAACCAGAGGCTTAGGATTGTGATCCTATTTAGTAGACCTCTTTATTCTTGAGTCATTATGTGTATTTGACAATTTAAATTGCCAACTAGCATCTGTTCATTTTTTGTTCTTAGTTGCATTATGTGTTTGTGAATTGTAAGTGTATTTTGGATCATAGAAAATGAGTTTGTGAAGTATGATATCTGTCATAGGGCTAAATTACTAATACAAGTAAAAGTTGGGCATAATATGTGTTGATTATAAAATTTTTGTTGAAAAGTGATTTGAACTCCCCCTTGTATGTTTTTGACATTGAGGGGTTGAGTAGTAAAATTATGACCTATAAGTATTTAATATGATATGCTGCATTGTATAAGTTAGTTTTAATGTTTTACATGTGGTCTAATTGGTGTTAATGGCTATTGGCTTTTGGTGATTGAGTTAGACAATTACTTTTGAGAAAAATATTGAAAAAGTGTAAGTTTTGAAAAGAGTGTTCAGATTTTTATTGTGTAATAATTTGATTATGAAACAAAAGCCATTAGTTAGAGCTCAAAAAGAGCTTTTCATAGACATCTAGTTCGCGTTAATTGGACGTTGGATGAAAGATTTGAACATATCAAAAGTTGTCCTAAAAGTTGTCAAATTGACAGTCAAATTTACTATCAAAGATCGTGCAAATGCACCATGATGCATGGTGCCACAAGTTGCAACGGATGACACAGAGACAAACACGCTGCAGTGCATGTTCAATGAGCCACGTCACATGCCTTAAAAATTTGCAGAACTATTTTGTTATCAAATGTTCTTGTAAATGCACTCATGTTTGATGTGATCTCATGCTTCCGTATATTTGTGAGCCCTGATTTGTCTATTTTAAAGAGTTTGAACGTGGTTTTAGTTTTTAAATACTTGAATTCCCAATTTTTCACCCATTTTCAAATTGGTGTTATGTTAATTATTTTAATTCAATCTCTTTATTAATTGATATTTGGAGTTAATTATGGCTTAGAAAGAAAAACATACTAGAGTTTTCAACTCCAATTGACTTTATGCTTCTCAAACACTTTTTACTTTAATTTATAGTGTTTAAATGACCTTTGAAACTCATTTTTGAAATTAAATGATTTATGGAATCCTATCTCTACATGATTTTTTTTACTTAGCCTTTTGAATTCTTATACAATTAAGGTAATCCTTTTATTTCCATGATATCTTTTACTATTAATTAAATTAGTTGAAATTATCATGGTAACTTTACATCAAGGTTAAGTATGTGTTAATATGTGTTTAAGTATTGGAGATTTTACATTGTCAATTTATAAAAATTTTAAAATTTTTAATATTAAATTAGACCAATCAAATTAAATTTATAATGCTGAAATTCACGATAAAATAAATTAATTAAAATTTTTATAAAATTAAAAAATTAATTAATAATATTAAAATAAATGTTTTTAATATAAACCCAGTTTAAATCTCATCATGTGATGTGAATGATCTTTAGGCCAAAAAAAAGGGGAAAAAAAGCGCTAAAACTGGTTCCGAGAGGAAGGCTGTGATCTGTTACTGGGGCAGCGTTCAACAAAGTCACGTGCTCTCGCCTCCCGTTTTCACTTTGACACTTTTGCTCACTTCGCAGCAGCAAAATTGCACTCCCATATATTTTCTACCAAAAAAAAAAAGAAATTTTAATATACTGAGCGTAAAATAAATGCTCGTCCTTACACCGGTTTTGAATGTTAATATTTTTTTACATGTGATGCCTTTTTTTTTTTTGTTGGTCTAAAAGACAAGGTAAATTAATGTATACCTGTGAAGCCAGTCTGTTATGAAAAGTCAAAAAAATGAGTCACGTGCCGTTAAATCTATGGGCTCGGCTCCTCTCTACCCCTTCCTATCCATGGAACAGCTAGATAGTTTAGATTAAATGTTTCGATTTTTTTATTTCATATTTATTAACAAATTTTTATTAAATTTAATCACTAATTTAGACAGTATATATTTGATATGGATAATATAAATTTACTGTTAAAAATATTTTTTTATAATTTTAATATTAAGATTAAAATGCATAAAATTTTTGAATTTTGAAGCAGTTAAATATAGTCTCTTTTATTTTTAAAAATTTAAAATTAACTCTTTAATTTTTAATTTTTTTTAAAGCTCCTAATGTTAGTTATATTATTTAACTAAAAAATGCTATTAAACCAAAAAATATTATATTATATAACCATTTATAATTAATTTTCTTGAGGCACTGATAGTCAAAAAAATATTATTATTACTATGTAAAGTTTTAAATATTTATGATTATGTTAGTTTTATCTTTTTTTTTTTTTGCTATCAATGCTGCATGGTTTTATTGTTTTAAAGGATAAACTTTTATTTATATTTTCATATTAGATTAATATAAGGTACGTGACTAAAATATTTAAAATTTTAAATATTATCAGGTTAGATTAATTTATCATTTAATATGAGAAAATTATGCATCATTGATAATAAAAAAAATAGATAAAACTAATACAAAAGTAAATATTTAAAAATTTATATCATGATAATAAATTTTTTTTTTTGCTGTTAGTGTCACAACAATCCAAAAAAATAAGAGATTAATTAGCCATAGTTCTATAATATAATATCTTGTTTACTAATATATTTTTAGTTAAATGACATTTTATATAAAAAATAATATAATTAACAATAGAGGTTTTGAAAAATAAAATTAAATGTTATGAGAGTTACTTTTAAACTTTTAAAGGTGAAAGTGATCACATACAACTGCTTCAAAGTTCATGAAGGTTTTATGTATTTTAACTTAATATTAAATCTACACTATCCATGTAGTATATCTAGAAAGTTTAAATTTAATATAAATGATCTAAATATAAAAATAAAGATTTAAAAAATTTCATAATTTTAATATGAAATTTACACTATCAATAATATATATGGAATTTACACTATCTATAATATATTTGGATAATCCAGGACAGACCTACTCAAATTGAAGGGCTAAACCCAAAAAAAAAAAAAAGTTTCCATCCCCCTCCCAAAAAAAAACACCATTTTCAATTGGCCCTCTCTAAAAATTTTCAATTCCAAAAAAAAAAAGAACAATCATTTTCCTCCTTAAAAAATTTCACTTCTCTCCCATAAATTCATTTTACCCATATACTTTTCTATATATAATAACTTAAAATAAAAATAGTTCTAGAATGGACGGAACAATGATTTAACAAAACTAAATTTCTCTAATTGTTTAAATAATTTTTTTTAAAATATATAAAAGAAAGTAGATATACTTTATAATTAATGAGCATCCAAAACCCTAAATTATTATACTAATAACATCCGGATCATAAACTTCTTTAATGTATAAAAACTCTCATCAACTTCTAAATTCCAAGCATATAAAATCTTACCTTTCAATTAGAAAAAAATGACCATTACTTTTGTAGTTATGGGGCTCAGTCTCACACTGGTGTAGTATTTATTTTGACTTTTAAAAATAACGGCTGTTTTTCTTAACGTAACGGTGGGGTTTCAGGCGCTCAAAATTTAAAAGTTGAGGATCCTTTTTGAACATTTTAAGAGTTTAGGATCCAAAATACTATTTGTATAATAGTTTAAGGTTTAACCCTATATTTCATTTAAAAAATAATAAAATTAAAGACTATGTTATTTTCTAATATTTGTAAAAAATTTGATTATATAAAGAAATTACTAATTTTATGTTTTGTGAATTGTTAATAAATTTTAATTTTAATGTAATTTTAAAATATTTAAAATTATATTTTTTAAAAATTATTAATATTTATTTTAAGTAAAAAATTTACCCCTAGTGGCTAATTTTCCCTAGTTTGTCATTGTAGTCAATTTATAAAAATTATAAAAAATTTTAATATTAAATTTGAATTGTCTAAATTGGTGATGAATATTACATTTTTTTATAACTTTTTAATAAATATAAAAATATTTTAAAGCAAAATAGTTTAGATTTAATCTAAGCAGT